GCCAGCCGTCTGGTTAGCAGGCAAGTGTCTTAGCCACTATGCTACCAGAGCTCCCATGCCATATACTAGGGACCATAAATTTGCCCCTAGTTTTTCCTTGAGGAACTGTATAGTTTTAGGTTTCACATTTAAGTCTTTGATCCATCTGGAGTTCATTTTTGTGGCTATTTTCAGTTCTTAATTTGTCTGTTCCTTTGCCAATACGATTATTTTGATAGATGAGAAAGATCCAACTCATTATCTGTCTTTTTCTTTTTAAATAATTTTCATGCATTTCTTCTGAAATTAATTCTCTATATAAAATTTAAAATAATTTCATCTGGGTTCAGGGGGAAAAAAAAGGAACAGTATTGATTTCAACCAGTGGTGTTGGAAAAACCTGATATCCATATGTAAAAAATATAAACCTTTACTTCACATCATATACAAAAATGAACATAAATGAGTCATTGACTGAAAGATAAACACTAAAACTATAAAAACCCTAGAAGAAAATATAGGAAAAACTCTTCATGACCTTGGAGTAGGCAAATATTTCATACATGGAGCATAGAAATAATAAATCATAAGAGAAAAAAATCTATAACTTTGTACTTAGTGGACAGTGTGATACTTCTTCAGAAAAATAAGATTTATGACCCTAAATGCTTGCACTACCACTGACAGATAATCCCCAATTTTCACAGTCAGGTTTGGGTCTCTAGGACTTACCTTGGCACATCCACTTCCCATGGCAGCCTCATCATGTGACTGTCCAATGAGGAGACATCAAGCAAGACCTGACCCTGCTGCCCCAGTTCAGGACAATTCTAAAGGATCATTTTATCTTCAGAATGTTCTGCAGGACCAGTTGAGGCACAACACTGAGAACGCCAAGTCCTGCTTCCAGAAACCTAAAAAGCACCCCTCAGAAGCCCCCTGTATGTTAATTTTTGTTTCATGGTTGGCTTCTCAGGAGACTCAATCTACGGTTACATTTCGTTCAATTAAAATCTGTTGCTCTTTGAAAGACACTGTGAAGAAAATGAAAGGGCAAGTTAAACACTGGGAGAAAACATTCACAATACCTATATTCACTGAAGGATATCCAGAATATATAAAGAATTCTTACAATTCAATAATAGGAAGTTAACACAGTAATAAAATGATAAAGGATTTTAACAGACAGTCCACAAAAGGTTGTATAGATATGGCCAATAAAATCACGAAAATAAAATAAGGAAAGGGAATATACAAGTTGAGCCTGGAACATCTTGTGTTGCTGGAAATTAAGAAAGTACTCAAAAACCAAACAAACCCACAATGATGGGACTATGTCCAAAGGATACAGGAACTAACTGAAAGAGCTCCCAGTGGCCAAAACATTTGAGCAACTGAGTAAATCATGCAGCACTAGATTATAACCTGAAGTATAAAATAAATATTCATGGGTCTATAAAAAAATAAAGAAACAGACAAATCATTAAATAAATAAATAAATGGAGAGAATAGACAATTCTATACAGAAGAATTTCAAATTTATGTAGCTACTCCTCCCCATGGAAATGAAAAATAATTCTGCATTATGGGCTGTGTGTTGTGACTTCCTTCCAAAGAGTACAGTATGGAAAGTGGAAAAAAATGGTAACTTCCCTGACAAACAGTACGTCATGAGGTGATCAAAGTCAACATCAATGATAAGTCATGTTGATAGTATGCACCCTTGATGTGATATGATAATGGCACTTTATTCTGTGGTCCTCCTAATATCCCAACCATGAGAAATACACCAGACAAATCCCAATAGAGGGGCAGCCTACAAAATACTTGACCAGTACTCTGCAAAATTGTTAAGGTCATTAAAAACAAGGCAAGTCTGACATGATGACTAAATGTGTACAGTATCCTGATAGGATGTTGTTGATTGATTAATCAAATTGATTTTGACTCATAGCAACTCATAGCAACTTCATGTGACAGAATAGAACTTGGCTGCTAACCAGAAGGCTGATGGTTCAAATCTACTGGCCACTCCTTGGAAGGAGGATGGGGCAATCTACTTCTGTAGTGATACTGCCTCAGAAACCCAAGGAGGGGTCGCTGTGAGCCGGGTCTGACTCAACGACACATAACATCAACAACAACATGGGGTTTTCTAGGTTTAATCTCCTCATTCCCCAGGAGCAACCCTTAACTTCAAACTGGAAGGGGTGGCAGTTAGACTGTAATCTTTGTGGGAGTAGGGTGTGAGGTCTCACTCCTGCAGAGTCACTAGGTGGGTTCAAACTGCTAACGTTTTGGTTAGCAGCTAAGCACTTAGCCATTGCATCACCAGAGCTCTTCCTTGAAGGGATATTGGGACAGAAAAAAAAAGACATTATATAAAAACTAATGAAATTTGAATAAATATGGAATTTATTTAATAATAATATGGTATTATTGGTTCATTAATTCTGACAAAAGGAGCCCTGGTGATGAAGTGGTTAAGCCCTTGGCTGCTAACTGAAAAGTCAGTGGTTCAAACCTACCAGCTGCTCCATGGGAAAAAGATGTGGCAGTCTGCTTCTGTAAAGATTACAACCTTGGAACCCCTGTGGGGTAGTTCTATTCTGTCTTATAGGATTGCTATGAGTCACAATTGACCAGATGGTAACAGTGTTAATTCTGACAAATGTACCATACTAATGTAAGAATAGGGAAAAGTAGATGTGGACTATATAAGAACTTTCTGTATTACCTTCATAACTTTTCTATAAGTGTAAAACTATTCTAAAAGAAAAAGTTTATTTAAAAAAAAGCACATCATTAATCATCAAAGAAATACAAATTAAATCACAATGAGACACTGCTCCACAGAAACTAGAATGACTAGAATTAAAAAAGAGTGACAATAGCAAGTGTTGGTGAGGATATGAACTAACCGGAACTCTCATACACTCTTCAAAGGCATGTAAAATGGTGCAACCCTATCAGAAACATTTTGATTGTTTTTTTTTTTTTTAGTAAAACAAAGACTTGATATTTGACTCATAAATATCATAAATTTGACTCATAAATTCCCAAGTAAAATGAAAGCAGACATTCACACAAAGACTTAGATGAATGTTCATAGCAGCTTTATTCACAATATTCAAAAATTGGAAACAATCCTAATGCCCATCAATGAGTGAAAAGATAAACACACTGGGGCATAGTTATACACTATTGTTGAATAATATTATTCAACAATAAAAAGGCATTAATCACTGATATATGTAATGCAACATGGAGATACGTAAACATCATTAGCTTGAGCAAAAGAAACCAGACATAAAAGGATATATACTGTGTAAGTCCATTTATATGAATCTGTGTTGTTGTAAGATGCCATCAAGTTGGCTCCAACTCATAGTGTGGTAGTTCAGTTTGTGTGTCAACTTGGCTGGGCCTGGTTGAGTGGCTGGGCAGCTGGATGTAGTATTCTCGATGATGAGACTAGTAATCAACTCCATGGTGGAATCTACTGGGAGCAGCTGAGTAGCTGCCTTTGGATATGTGGTCTGCTTCCCATATATAAGAAACAGCTTTGGAAATGGTCTCTAGCTTAAGGCATGCTTGAACCCTGCATGTAGTCATTTCATTGTTCAGTAGCATGCCATGTTCTGCTGACCTGGGGACTTAAAATGGACTTAAATTAATGGCCTGCTGTGTGGTTTGGTAACATCGGGACTGTGTCTTTTTACTTGTCAACCTTGGGCTTGGAAGCCTCAGCAGGCAGCAGCTGCCTGAGTGAAGAAAAGCCTCTAGCTTCATTGGGCTGGGATCTGGAGGCAGAGCTGAAACCCAAAGCTGAGGGGCTTTCACCCAACCCCTAGATCTTGGCACTTTGAACTTGGACTTAAAACTTTCAAATTGTAAGAATAAACTCCTGTTTGTTTAAGCCATCCCATTTGTGGTATATTCTTTTCTGAGCGGCACTAAGTAACCAGAAAAATAGCAACCTTAGGCATAACAGAATGAAACAGTGCCTGGTCCTGTGCCATCCTCACAAACTTTGCTATGCTTCAACCCTTGTTGCAGCCACTATGTCAATCCATCTCGTCGAGAGTTCTGGTAGGTAAGGTTGCATTGTCAACTTTGCTGGGCCTGGTTGAGTGGCTGGGCAGCTGGATGTAGTTGTTCCCCATGGTGAGACTGGTAATTAGCTCCATGGTGGAATCTACTGGAGCAGTTGAGTAGCTGCTTCAGGGATGTAGGCTTCTTCCAGTATATAAGAAGCAGCTTTAAGGAAGGTCTCCAGTTGATGGCACGCTTGAACTCTGCATGGTAGCTGAATGTTCAGCAGGCTGCCGTGTTGCCCTTTCAATCTTGGAACTTTGATGGATTTGAATTAATGGCCTGCCATGTGGTTTGGTAATATCATGACTGTGCCTTTTCACTTGTTGACCCTGGGTTTGTCAGCTTCAGCAGCCAGCAGCTGCCTGACTGAAGAGATGACTCTAGCTTCAGTGGGCCAGAAGTATGAGACAGAGCTGAAGCCTAAGTTTGAGGGGCTTTCACCCAGCCCCTAGAACAAGACACTTTGAACTTGGACTTCTAGCTTCCAGAACTGTCAGAGAAAAAACTCCTGTTTGTTACAGCCAACCCATTTGTTAGAGTGGCGGTACTAGAGGTAACCAAAACAGAATATGGTACCAAGAGAGTGAGGTGCTGCTTTGACAGATATCTAAAATGTGGAAACAGGAATGGCATTCATCCTTGACCAGAGAGACAGTGGCAGAGAGACACTGGCTGAGAGACTGGCATGAGAGATGGTAGTAGCAGAGCCCAGAGACTGGCATGAGACAGCAACAGCCTTACCATCCCATGGAGGAGAAGGCTAGATGCCATTGGGTAGGCAGATTGCTGGTGGAGTAGGTTGCCTTCAGGCATTAATTGGTAGAAGAGACCAGCATAAGATGGAGTAGCAGGTTGGCCAGCCCATGGAGCAAGAAAGCTAAGTGTCCTTTGGGCAGGAAGATTCCTGGCAGAATGGGTTGCCCTCAGGCATTAATTAGCAGAAGCAGAGAGACCAAAGAAACTGGAAGCAGGGCTGCCTCCAGCCTCAAGGGTAGTACCATGGTCTTTGGGGGTGGAACCACCACAGCCTCCTAGGTTTCAAAGAGTCAAACCTTCACCCACTTGGTTCTGGAGTGTGGAGCTGCTGGTTCATGTGAGCTAGTGGGATGGAGTCAAGCCACTGCCCAAGAGTGAGGGGGCAGGGCTGCCATGCCCAAGAGGTAGAGGAATGGGCCTGCCAGGCCAAGGGAGTGAGGTCACCACTCAGAGGATCTAGGGGACTGGAGTCACCCAGTGAAGGAGATCTGTACAAATGCTACCCAATGAAGATCTGTACTGGTGCCAAGTTGACAAGGGCTGGAAATGTGGTAGTTAGGATTGTATGTCAACTTGGCTGGGCCTGGTTGAGTGGCTGGGCAACTGGATGTAGTTTTCTCATGGTGAGATTGGTAATTAACTCCATGGTGGAATCTATTGGAGCAGCTGAATAGCTTTTTTAGGGCTGTGGGCTGCTTCTAGTATATAAGAAGCAGCCTTGAGGAAGGTCTCCAGTTGATGGCATGCTTGAATCCTGCATGTAGCAAGTCATTGTTCAGCAGCCTGCCATGTTGTCCTGCCAATCTTGGGACTTTTAATGAACTTGAATTAATGGCCTGCCATGTGGTTTGGTAATATTGGGACTGTGCCTTTTCACTTGTCAACCTTGGGTTTGTCATCCTCAGCAGCTACCAGCTGCCTGAGTGAAGAGATACTTCCAGCGTCAGTGGTCTGGGAGCATGATGCAGAGCTGAAACCCAAGGTCAAGGGGCTTTCACTCAGACCCTAGAGCCTGCCACCTGGAGCTCAGACTTCTAACCTTCAAAATTGTAAGAGAATAAACTCCTGTTTGTTAAAGCCCTTCCAT